AGTTTTAATCATTTTTTAGTACAACATAATAAAAAAGACAAGATTAATCGAGGTTGTTCAAACAAGCATAAGACAACTAAAAGGTATTACCGCAGCAATTGGGGTTATGGATTTTCAGTTTATGGGGGGTAGTATGGGAGTAGTCGAGGGGAAAATTACCCGTTTGATTGAATACGCGAAGTTGGGATCATAAAGCTTAGTTGAGAAATTGTGAAATTGGATTTTACCGATAGTGCAGCTCCCGTACTTTGACAATGTATAACTCACAAATTGTAAGTCGAAATAAGCTTGTATCTTGCAACCACTTTCATGAAGGGTCGAAAGTCAGTTATGACTTTAAGTGACTCGGAACAGTGTATTTTCAGGGTTGTTTGCACTGTATTCGGGATTAATTTGTTTTTTTGTGAAATTCGTATAAAATATATGGATAATCAAAATGAGGTGGGTAGATTCATATATCAAAGGTAATATTGATTCTTATTAATTTAATATATAAATGTGATCATCGATTCATTTAGTTAACTTTAATAATTTTAAAAAAATTATCATCATCATGCAACGCGCGATGTCAAACACTAGTTTATATATAAAAAACATACATTAACTTAAACGAACGTAAATGAATGAAGTTTTACAAACGTAAATGAATGAATAATATCATTGTCCATGTTCGTTAATTTAACTAAACGAACAAAAAAATGTGTTCATTTATTAAGTAAATGAACTTTCACCGCACGCTTCGCTGATTGCTCGGTTTGTTTACAATCCTAATTGTCAGAGATGTTCTCATCTTCTTGGAGGCTCTGTACCACCTATTTTTTAGATAACAAAGATACATATATACAAATTACAGAGGCGATAATAAGACATATTACTTTTATTTTCTGATAGAAATTAAATAGACATTGAGGTCGGCTATAGTTTTACATTCATTGATGAAAGACCCTAAACAATGTAAAACTGGGCCCTAAAATTCCAAACGCCCTGTTCAAAATCAAATATTTAGAGTATCTCCAACATATTTTCCAAAAATGAAAATTTTGGACATGTTTTTTGTTCCAACAGATTCTCCAAAACTTTTCTTCAAAACAAAGAAAGTGTAAAATATTCTAAATTTGGAGAAGTGCCAAAAAATGATTACAATAAAAGAGAAATATTTTTTTAATATATTCTCACCAATAAGAAACTTCAAAATTAATTTTTAGACCGAGAAATAATATCTATACTATATTATAAAGCATTTGACCCAATCTCTTAAAAACCATTTCTTATGCATTAAGTACTGTTTATTGATGCATATTACTTAAAATTCAAGAGTACAAGTAAATTGTGCGTAAGTACAACTTATTAAAGCTTCATGTTTCAATCCATATAACTAACTTCAGATAAACATAATCAAATTAAGGATAAACATTTTATTCTAAATATAAAAAAACTAAAATATAATTAGGATAATCATTGAGTTCTAACAAAATACTTAATTATTATTTTTATAAAAAATTATATTATTAAACCAAAAATAAAAAAAAATGAATGAAAGAAATACAAAAAAAAATTAAATAGTTGGTCTGGTACTGATATTAGTATTTTTATTTTATTTTTATGATTTCTTCATATTTATATTTTATTAAAAAATAAAAATATTATTGTTTCTTCAAAACCATATAAAACCGTATTATAACATCAACTAAGAAAAAAAAACGAAACATTAAAATCGAGATGTATCTCGCTGCATTATGCGAGTACTCTTCTAGTTATATTAAATGAATGAAATATTTTAATAATGTAATGTATTTTTATTATTCATTTTAGAGAAAATTTGAAGAATTTGTTGAAGATGCTCTCAACATGTTAAAAACGGCTCCGCTAATTGTCGACGAATTGTAAATTATTGGAAAGTTGCCAATTTTCTATACAAATGCCCTTATAACTTGGCACATTAATACACAAGCCGATAACGGCGTTAAATGGTCACATTTGGACGACATGATATAATAGACCAATATATACTGATCAGAGAGATGTACATACAATGTTGGATTCGTGTTTTCGGGATGATACGTGATGTCGAAAAAATGTAGGACGAGAATGGAAATCTATGAAAATACAGCAAACGATTCCCGAATTTGAACAAGCGACGACAATAACTTACATCCCCGAGGCATGACATTCTTCGAGAAGTTTAAGAATGTTATGTTCTGGTGCACTGATTGATGGAAGTATCATGCGATTTGTTCGAGGTCGTGATTTTGTTCGAGGCGTCTCGGGTTCCGGTGGGCCCCCGGTTTCTTCTTGCATTACGGGCAAGTCGGCCCTCCTTTGCACGCCTGCAGATACACGCTCTTTCCATATCCGTCCATCCTTTTATGCATTAGAACACATAATCAGAAAATGCAATCCAAAAACGAACCGAAAAGAAGAACAAAAGATTTTGGCTTTAAATATCAAATGACTACTTTTTTTTTTTTTTGATTAACTTAGATATCCAACCCGTTATGCAAGCCGACTAATCTCAGGGCGACCACCCGCTTTGCGGGTCACCCGAAGTCGTCGCATTTGAACCTCCATGGCCACAAGGAGATTTTTGTTCCTCCTTGGATTCGAACATGAGACCTCCATACACTTTTGACCTTTGGAATCCAAGCTCAAACCAATTGGACATCACCCTTGTGGTTATCAAATGACTACTTTTTTGTATGCAATGGAGGACGGAGTCGAAAATGAATTGCATTTTGACTTTTTTTAATGTCAAAACTACGTTAAAAATGTATGTGAATACGAGAAATAGGATGACGATATATTTCCTCAAGTAATCTCTATCGATTTTGCAACGGAAAGTACTTGGTTGACTTCAAAAAGTCAAAGTGTAGCTCTTTCTATGGAAATATCATTCTACCAATCTACAACAAAATCGGCTTTATCGAATGTCAATAATGTCGAAGTATCTTAATAGATCGCTTTATAGGTCACCAAACAATAAATTCTCGTCTAAAAGTGTTGTAATAAGTTTATATGACACTTTTTGACGTCTTGACAAAGCTTTTTAGGGCATCTTTAAAATAAACTGTAATATTAGCTATTTTATAGGACTATTTTGAGCAATGTCCTATGAATGTATCTTCTTATAGAACACTTGTTTTTTATAAGACACTTTTTCAAGTAGTGTCCTATAAAAATAACTAATACAACAATTTATATTAAAATATTTTAAAATGTCTGTTAAGACGTCCAAAAACGTCATATGAACCAAACTAAACCAAACCAAACCAGCAGGTATATCAGAGGTCTGGAAGGTGGAATTTATGCAAATCTAACCTCTATCTAGAAAAGATCATTCGACTAACTGCTTAAATCCTCATCCTAACTAACGGATTAACGATACCCACGATTCAAATTGAGAAACACAAACAACTATCAGCAAAATCAGATCAGTTCACTAAAACAAAATCAGCTTTATAGGATCTCAAATATGTCTAAATATCATAATAGACAGTTTTATAAAACTTAAGTTTATAACACAAAAAATTGTGCATCTTATATTAAAGTGTTACAATATACTGATACGACATCCACTTATTAGAACGCCCAAAAAATGTCCTATAAACTTATTGTAACACATTTATATAAGACACACATTTCTATAAAGTAATGTTACGTGACAAAGTTTATTAAGACATTTACACATATTTGACGTCCAATAAATCCGATCTTATTGTAACGGTTCTTCAAAAATCATGAACAAAGAACCAAGAAAAATCAACATGTGTTTTCAATGAGCATAAAACACCAAATGCAAACCACAAGTGTGGTGCCTGATTGGTTTGAACTTGGCTCCAAAGATCAAAAGTATCAGGAGGTCCAGGTTCAAATCCAATGGGAAATAAAAATCCCCTTGTGGCTACGGAGGTTCAAATGCTATGACTCCGGGCTATTTGCAAAACATGTGGTCGCTGGGATTAGTCGGGTCGCATAGCGGGTTGAATATCCAAGTTAATAAAAAAACACCAAATGCAAGAAAACTAGTTTTAACATATACTTAGGGACCGTTTGACAGTTGCTGAATGGTTTAATGCAGAATGAATAAGCGGTCAGAATGATTAAGAGGCTCTCATGATATAATGCAAAATGAATTATAATTGTTTGATAATTATTTACAATAAAATTAGGGCGTTGGATGGTTAAGGGAGATCCATGATACAAAATCATTTAGAGGGTTTCAGAACCATTAAGAGGCAGACTTTTTTTTTTGCCAAACAAGATTTATATTCTAACGATTCAAAGATTGCTTCTTAATGGAACTATTAACAGGTAAACAAACAATCCCTTACATTCAGAATTGAAGGTTCAGGCAATGGGCACGGAATGGGTTGATCGATGTCAAGCGGCTCGGTGGGATGCTCGACCGGCTTAAACTCAACGGCTACTTCGATCCCGTGATGAGAAGTAGACATGAATCCTGTGACACTTGCGGTTTCTGTAGCCACTGTATCTGGGGCTGCAACTTCCATTTCCTCCTTAAAACCAACCAAAACACAAGATCACAAATAGAACCGCGAGTCAAACTCTGATGATTTGAAATTCAAAATTGACATGAAATGTTTGCATTTTCTTTGATCTTTAAAGTGTTTTATGTTCATAATCTTACGTAGTTTCATGTAGCTGTAAAATATTTAATACTCAAAGAAGCATTTTTCATCAATTTCGACTTTAGATATGAACTCATTTTGACCCTCGAAAGTCAAACACGGTAAAATTATAGAGAGAATCAAAGGTTGACTTGAAATTTTTCGTAAGAACAAGCAATAGCATACAGAAAATCTCAACATTAGCTACTATATATACCACAAAAACTGGATTTCATCCCTTAATTCCCACAAAAACAGGTTAATTTTGAATAAAAGTCAAACCCCCAAATTTGAAATCTGAAATGTCGTAGCGAATTGCTCAGAAAACCAATAATTCAGTATCGTATCATCAAACAAAAGACAATTGACGAGTGGATTTTGACCAAAACAGAAGAGAAAGCAAACTTGGGGGAACTGGAGCATGAAAATCATAATGGATTTAAAAACATGAAGATGAAGATGAAGATTGAAGAACAGGTATGATGAAAAGGAATTAGAGAGATGGGTGTGTCCTTACAAGTGCACTTTGGGAGCGACGATGGCCGTTTCTGATGACAGAAAATCGTGAAAAAAGACTCACCATGTTGGTGAAAGAAGGAATCTTTTGGAGAAAAAAACAAGTAATCGAACAGTTCCAAACGTGATCTGGGATTTTGTGTCAGGTTAATCAGAGAGAGAGAGAGAGAAAAAGGAAGATGAAAGAGAATCGATAGCTTGGCTTGGTGGGTTTGGTTGGATTCTGTCTGTAATACCTCTGTGTGTGTGTGTGTGTATATATATATATCTATATCTATATATCGTTTTCTGAAGACGAATAAAGACGATAAGCTATGTGGGGGTAAAATCTATGGCTACCTCTCAATTTTCAATTCTATATGTCGTTGACGCCTTAATAATGAATCGAGTTAAACTATAAATCTGGTCCCCAGGGTTCCTTACTTCAGTTTTGGTACTAGCATCTATTGATCCAAAAACCTTCGGTCCTGACCGGTCCTAAAAAATTTAATAATCGGTCCCGGCCGAAAAAGTTGAACCCGGTCAAATTTTATTTTAACCGGTTGTGGGCTGCCGGTCCCGGTCATTAAAAAATAAATTTTTTATTTTTATTTTTTTAATGATATATATTTTTAGTACATTATAAAATTTGTAATTGTGTCACTCAAATACACTTTAAAAATGCGTTTTATTATATTAAAATTACATTATCTTACAAAATATAGTGAGAAACAGTGAACCTTTATTTTGCGTTTTTTACGAATCGAGAACTTGGTATGTAAATCCCTCAACCAAGACACTTATATATAGTATTTAGAAAACAAAAAATACAAAAAAGGCCCAAAAAGCGGCTACATTTAAAAAAAAATAGCTACATTTTTTAAAAATCGGGCCAGGTCGGGCCGGTCCATAATCGGTCCCGGTCTCGCGAAACACCCCAAATCTATAATCGGTCCTAGATTGCGGTCCTATAACCGGTCCCGGACCGGGCGGGTTTGGCCATCACTAATAGCATCTAGATTATTTAATCCATTAAAAAAGGATATTTTTGTCCATTTTTTTTATTTTTTTAACTAATCAAAACCGATTTTATAATTAAGTTTTTGTGGTTTTTGATTGGATAAAAGACATGAAAATTCGATATAAAGATGAATCTACTTAGGGGTGTACATGAATTAAGTTGGACAGTTTGAGACATTTTTAGAATCCAACCCAATTATGGCAGTTTGAAAAATCTCAAACCAACCAATCCCTTGCATGTTGAGGAATGAAATATGATAAATAATACTAAAAATATACAAAATAAAGTTATTAATCATTACAATCATCCAAATATATAATTAAATTATGAAGACTTAGAATTAAGTACTTCAAATTGTCAATCAAGTATTTCAAAAGTTGGAATAAGAGATGTCCCAAACCACTCAAATCATCAATCAAGTATGATTAAAGTCTTAGGTATCGTACATAATTATCATTTATCCCTCAAATAATATATTAAAAAAAATCACACATTATAAAATAACGCATTTGAAACATGCCATAACACGTTGTAAGCACCATAACACATTACAATTGAATTCAAGTCTTACAGTGAAGCCACAGGGGTTAACGTGACGGTGAACCGAAGTCTTGAAGCCATAACAAGGCCATAATAAATTATTTAGAACTATGATATATATATATATATATATATATATATATATATATATAGGAGCGTTCAAATAAAAACTTGACTCATTTGTGTAAACCGTGTAAACCAATATCATTCATTCATTTTTTTGATCAATGGCTAAGATTACATTACTTTATTTTAGGAAATTAAAAATTAAAAAATAATTAATATTTATTTTATTTCATCAATAAGGGTAGAATCGGTAAACAAATTTAATTCATAGTATTTTTTATTCAAGGCAACCATATCAGGTAAATTAGAAAATGAAAATGTTTCACCATCATGAATCTATTTCATTAACTATTTTGCAATGAAACCTTTTCACATTAAAATTTTTACATGCAGATTAATTTCATAACGAACAAAATCCATTATGCATTATTTCATTAACTATGAATCTATTTCATTAACTATTTCATTAACTATTTTACATGAATCTATTTCATTACCTATTTTACATGAATCTATTTCATTAACTATTTTATTAACTATTTTACATGAATCTATTTCATTAACTAATTTATTAACTATTTTACATGAATCTATTTCATTAACTATGCACCCGTTTTATGATACGTATATTTCATAACGAACAAAATCCATTA